GACCAGGACATGGAAATTAGCGTTCTCCGAAGGGTGACTGGCCTCTCCCTTAGAGAGAGGAGTTCAGCCATCCAGGAGGGGCTCGGAGTAGAGCCGCTACTCCTCCATATCAAAAGGAGCCAGTTGAAGAAGTTAAATTGGCTCCAAGGAATGCTTGGTGTTACCCCAGACAAGAATGAGGAGGTGGGTGCGGAGGAGGTCTGGGCTTCTCTGCTTAGGCTGCAGCCCGTGACCCGGCTTCAGATAATTAGAAGAAGACGGATGTATGGATGGATGTATTAATGAACATCATCTACAATCTACACGCACATCGTAAGTTGGGCACCAAAAGTGTACTCTGGATTTGCTGGTTGAACAGTATAAGCTAGTGTAAAGCACACTTTTGGGCTTTTTTTTTTTTTTAATAAAGTTAGAAACAGCAAAAAAGTGGTCAAGACAAGTGAAGTGAGCTAAGAGATTAGCTCGGGTATTATTGACTTGCATCTGTGTCTAAATAACCATCATTGATAAATAGGAAAATGGTAAATGGACTGGTTCTTATATAGCGCTTTTCTACTCTGAGCACTTAAAGTGCTTTATATATCACGACATTTTAAGAACACGAGATTTAAGTGTACATGTATCCACTGAAACCGCTGTGTTTTACTGAGGTTAGAATGAATCATCTTTGGTTTAGTATGTTCCATTAGCCAAACAATTACCGTTAGAGGTCTATTTATATCTACAAAAACCACAAGGTAAATGAAAAGTATGTTTAACCAGAGTCTATAGCTGTAAAATATTAGATTTAGAGAAACAGTGTGCAAAATATTTATTGGAGTAAAACAATCGATTACCACTGTTGAGAAAATGTTGTGAAATTATGATATTGATATTGTTGGCATCACTCAGCCATGACATAATATCACAAGTAATTAGTGATTATATTATATTTTATTACATTGCAATGCATATAATATAACATTACAAAATATAACTAATGGGTATTTTAAAAATCAGGTTTCAAATTTGCATGGAAAAAAAATACTGCTTTCATTTTTCCATCATGGTATAAAGTGGAGAAAACCATTTGCTATAACGTGACATGACACATAAAAAAAATATGGGTCATGGTTGCAACAAACCTCATAAGAGATCTTCTTGCTGTGACAACTGCGTGTGAATCATGCACAATCCTCCCGTTCGATGAGATACTCTCTTTTGTATTGAAATTACCGGTCCCAAGAGCAACCACTTCATATCCATTGGCTAGAGAAAGACAAAAGTGTGAGGAGAGGTAAATACAACATATTTATCTGATAGCCACTCAACATATCATTCTATAACATTTATATAACTCATGTCTGTTTCAGTTTCCTTAACAAAAGTATTGTTGTTCTATCTATAGCTACAGTTTTTCAGAGCCCTTACAGTCCAACATGTCTTTGCACAGTTGTTAGGCAATTTTCATCATCCTCCAGCGAATGCCTTGTTACATTCTCCATTCGCATTAGTTTCACGTGTCATACGCAACATACGTCGTTGGTCCATAACTTCTCGGTGACTAAAATTTTTTATCCATGAGAGAATTTTGTGCGACTCACCATTAATTAATTAAATTTTTAAAAAGTACTCCAGGCCTGCCAAAAACTGCTCACTGAGCAGGTTTTTCCTTTCCTATTGATTGTTAAAGTTCAACTGGATTTTGAGGTATGCTGTGGGTTACTGCTGCGTTATAAAAACAGTCATTGGCTGTCACACAGCACTAAGGCATAACATGACATGACCAGACCTATACCAATCAGCTGAAAATTTCAGTTTGGTGGGGAGAGTAAAGACAGCAGCATTAATTGAAGCAAACACTGTATTTTCTTTCTTCACACATAAAGCTGTTATTTTTTGTGCATCTTATCTGCATATAGTACCTGTTTCCAAAGGACTCTGACAGAAGATGTCTCTTTGCTTACTTTACACACTAGAATTCTTTCAAAATATATTTTGGCTTTTACTCTGTCATCTTAAAGAAGAAATTCCAAGGTGGATGATTTTGATAACTTCCGTGCTCTTACATATCATTTAACTCTTCTTTAAAGGCCTCGGTCTGAGGAGCTTGAGATAATTAAGAATTTATCAGTACCTGATAAATACTACCAGCTGACAGCTGTTCAAAAGTTAAATGAACAATATTTGTCTTCCCACTAAAGAAAAAAAAACCATTTCCATACAATAAACTACATGTTTTATCTCCCATCCCTACAAAATCCTGTCATCCCCTGTACAGATTCTTCAATAAATACCGTTTTTGTCTAACCTGTCAAGTTTTTTTTCTCTAGGACGATGTCAGGAAGTGACTTTGGCTCTAACATTTGTACGCTATACAGCAAATCAAAGCTATTGTATTTCAATGAATCGTTTTTGTGCAAAATCCAGCACTTAAAACTAAACTATACTAAAAGTAATGTTGTACAATAATCTTAGAGATTAGATAACAGCAGTTGCTTATAGGACTAATTTACACTGCAAGGAATTAAAAAAAACTGTTGTCACTATATTCAAGATGAAGATTTAAATCAAGCATTCTAAAATCTTTTTTCCACTAACAGACTGGTTACCATCTATCGTTCTTACTTTGAGGTCTCACTTACAAGTCTGAAGAATGAATGCTGCTGTGGTGACTGCACATCCGGAGAACTCTGGGTGACTATTCATCAGTTTCGTGAGCCGATCCTTGACAGCATGTGGAATCTGCAGATTGACAAATGGCTTCCTTTCTGTACAACAGGTGAGATAAAGAAAACGACAGGTCTTCAACTTATTCATTTGTCAGTTCATTGTCTTTCCACGTGTCAGTGCAAACAACAACCCTCTCAAGGCTCTTCACATCTTAACATATAAGCTCTAAAATGTTAGATACTGCCCGAGCAACCACTTGATAACAAAGGGAAGAAAGAATTCCCTTTTAACAGGAAGAGACCTCTAACAGGGCACGGCTCAGTAAAGAGCATAAAGTGGCTAAAAATAACAAAACAGGACAAAACAAACTATGAGAGAAAGAAAAAAAAGTGCATCACAGGAGGTCCACCAGCAGCCTGAACTTGTAGCAGCTTAATGAATACAAACACAGTATTTTCGAGCCATCATCATATCAGTGAGAGGTTCTCTGACTATAAGATGGACTAGCTTGGTAAGCTGCTTAAAACCCAGAGGGAATAAGTACTTGATGCCTCCTGTGGAGATGTAGAGGAACTTTCACTAACATCTGTTTCAGCTCAGCTAACACAAGTACAGACATAGGCAATCTTCAATAACGCCTGTACTCATTTGTTAGACTTTTACTTAAGTTCATTATTCTATCCAGATTTGTATTCATAAAAACTCTTTTAAAGTTACCTTTTCCATTTTTATTTAAATGTACTCATTTTTGTGTGTACATTGTGACTTATTGAGCTATTTTGCCTTTTCATTTTGTATTTTCTTTGTTGACCTATGATATTTTGTCATTGGTTGTGTTTACTACTTTGACACACTAATTTCCCTACTTTGGTAGTTAATTAAAAAGTACAGCTTATCTAATCTTATTTTATGCAAGGCTAGCTCATGGTTGTGTGCCCCTGAGCTAGCCTGACTATTAGCCTCCTCTTTTTCCTTTAGCTTTCTTAAGCTTCTTCTTCTATTTTCAATTTAAATGTACTCCTTTTGTATAATATTTAACTCACTCAGCTATTTGTCTTGTCATATTGCATTCTCTTTATTGACCTACGATATTTTATTTAACCTATCTTGTCACATGTTTGTTTACTTTTATGGCTGTTGTCACAGTAATTTCCCTACTTTGTTGATAAATAAGGTAGAGGTTATCTAATCAGATCTTGAGGGATTGTTCAGGGACAGATGTTCCAGTAGTGAGTAGTGTTATCAAAAGGGAAACAGGAAGTAATTGTGAAAGTAGACAGTATGTTTGTCTCCCAAATTGAAACCAAGGACTTGTTCAAAAGGACCTGCTCTCATTACAAAGTATTTAAATAACCAAGATATGACTAGATAAGTAAAATGAATCATATGACCAAATGTCTCTGACCTTCAAAATAAACATTGCTGTTGTTCTTTAGCAGACAAAATCTGTAAGGCAGGAATGATATCGCATAAATGACATGCATGCATCAGTAGTGTACACCCAATCCAGCTCGCCAGTCTATTGCAGGGCTCACACAGAGGCAGAAAACCATACACAAACACAATCACACCCTAAGGCCAATTAAAAATTGCCAGTTAAACTAAGACACACGTCTTTGGACAGTGGGAAGAATCAGAGCACCCAGAGAGAACACCCAAGCATGGGGAGAACATGTAAACTCTACATACAAAGGCCCCAGCTGGCCGGACGACTGCCCTGACTATATCTATACCTATCCTAAGTCATAATGTAGATCCCTAACTCTATCCAACATAATCATCCTTAACACTTAGCCAGACCAATGTGATGGCAATGCCAAAGACAAAAAAAAGGTTATTGCACTTTTAAAAATAAAATGTCAGTGGTTTCAAATCAAATTATGCAACAATAAAATATGGTCTGTGTGCTACATATACAGATGTGTTCAAAATATTACTGTTAGTGTCATTTACTACAAAATATGCAAACAGAGAGGTAACAAGTCAGTCAAAGAATATAAAACCCAGAATTACCGAGCATGGCTCCACGAGCATGGATATCAGAAATGGCGGGCTCCTCTTTTACTGGCAAAGGTGCAGGGACATCCAAGGCTAAAGCAGGCAAAGAAGTGAATGAAATGTAAAATGTTTAAATGTGCATTTTTAATGTTGCCAAATTAATTGTCAAAAATTGGTGGTAAGAGTGGCTCGAAGAACATTTACAGCCTTACATTTACTTAATTTACAATAAAAATAAATAAATAAATGTAGCAAAAAGCTGTATTAAATGGTGTATCCAATATTAACAACAACAATGGCAACAACCAACATCATAAATACTGTAAAAAAGTAATATGTGCGTCTCAGAGTCTGCAGAACAAACACTTTATTTTCATCAAATACTAACATGATGCTTCAGGAAGTGCAGATTTCAGACTCTCCAGGGTGGGCAGGAGATCCTGAAAAGCGAGCTCCGCTGCATTCAGGCGAGCCTCCTTCTTTGTTATCCCTATACCAGTCTTGTACTGTACTCCATCGATTACAGCACAAAAGGCAAAATAAAGCCCCGTAGTACTGGCTAATAAAAAACAGGAAAAAGTCATGAATTTTACTACAATCATACCCCAACATCTGGCTGACATCTTCTCTGTCAGCCACTGTGCATAACAAGAAGTCACAATTTGTAAAGAGCCTTCAGTTTGTATCCAGTCTAAAATGACATCAGCCTCTAATGACTTAGCCTCTGGCACAATACCTTAATTTCTTGAACAACAGTTTTTTTTTTCTTTTTCTTTGTATAAAGGGGTGAATAACAAAAGGAAAAAAATCTAGCATAGACCTGATCTTGTGATTGCATTATAAATAAAAAAATAAACTGCATTATTCTAATGTATTTTCAGTTCACTTCTTACTTGAAAGACCTTAAAACATTGCTGCTTTTACCTCAACGGTAAAAACAGTAATATATAATGATAGAATACATAGCTGTATTCTATCATTATAAACAACACCATGTGGCATTGTAAAGCTGTCTGAATAGATTATGTGACGACGTCTTCATAGATGTTGTTAAAGATTTTAGATCTGTATTTGAATGTGCACCAGCATGCTCGGAAGATTTACCTGGGGCTACTGTCTCCTTCATTTCCAGATGGAACTGCAAAGTCTGGGCAAGCTGATGGAGCAAAGATATAGCATTCGTCTCTCCATTCTTGTATCTGTCAATCAGTGTTTTAGGAGAGACTTTTGGTCTTCCATCATGACCTTAGTAGGGAAAACACGAAAAAGCAGATTCAAATTTTAAACCCATATAGATTCTATTTGGAGGCCTGCAACAGAAACCACAACTTAAAGGGGTTGACACATTGATTATCTGGAGCACTGTGGGAGCTGTATCTGGAGTAGATTAACTTCTCAAACCTACCAGGTTTAAAAGTGCTTTTCACTTGCTGGTCAAAGCCAGTATTCATGTTAGATGGTGATCGGGTTGGTCCTGATGTTGTTGGCAAATTCTTCTTGAGTATTTGTTCAATACAAGTTCCTCTGGAACCCCGAAATGATCCACCAGTTGGATACATCCTGCAAAATTTCACCAGTTCTGAAAAGAGGAGAACAGCACTGTTTGACTTAAAGCCATGTCTTATCAACCACATTTATCTGAACAAATAAAGTTTAAAGGGTTCCCTTAAAGCAGGGGTCTCAAACTCCAGTCCTCGAGGG